AGCTTGCAGGACTGGCCTAGGGTAATTTTTAGGGGGGTTTTAATTATATTTTAAATTCGACAAATATTTAATATTCTTTTTAATTAATTTTAAATTTGTATTGTTTTGTATGTATTTTAAATAGATTGTCAGCCGCCCTGAGTCCTACGGGAGAAGGGCGGGATATAAATTCAAATATAAATATAAATAAATAAATAAATAAATAACCATTAAGTATTAGCTTATTTTTACATTGGATCTTTTTTCCATATAGCTTGGTACAGTAATAGTTAGATTATTTATATATTTATTTACATTTCTTATTTCTAAACTGTCCATCTCCCTTAAAGAGGGGCTACACAAATACACGCACACGCACACGCACACACTTATCCCTTCGTGCTTTTTTTCCCTTAGATTCCCCCCCCAATTTTTATCTCTTCTTAGTTTTCTGAATTTGAAACTATTATCCCCATTTTTCATTTTGTTTAATTTGAGCTATTTCTTTTTAAGTCCTACCTTCCTGTTTTCATAGGCCTATATTAGTGCTTCCTTCTCGTTTTTTACATCTGATTAGCTCTATTGATGATAGCCTAACGCCCTAACCCATTATCATATCATGCTGAAACTTTCCATATTGTTAACATGGTCATGTACAAAGACTCATGTAATGAGTAAAGGTGGCTCTCACACTATGACAGATGTTACAATTTATTTTGGCAAGTTATGCAAATGGTTTAAAAGACATAATAAACAATAAACCTGTAGTTTGCTTGTCATACTTCCTGAGTATTCATTAACATGTTTTTTGCTGAGTTATAAAAATATTTGCAAGGCTGGTATCAGAATAATGTTCACTAATTTATTCTTTGTAAACATAAAATGTTATTTGGGAGTTTGTGAATAGTTTTAATAAACATAATTAACACTTATCATTGCAGAGTATTCACTGGAATCATCGAAGCATAAGGTAGGATATATTTTGCATGTATAAAATGGATTTTCCCCTGTTTTTCTTATGAGAACAGGACCATCAAAATTGGTTTTTAACTTGCATTTCAAAATCAGTTTCCAACATACGTAATGTCTAAAATACTGCTTTAGCAATACAGAACATCCTCTTCCTTCAAAACATTGCATGTTATAATGTTTATTCATTTGAGAAATGTAGTCAGAGGTTTTGCCATGTTGTTGCAAAAGGGACCTGCTTGACAGGATCCCAGACTGCCTCTCTAAACCAAAGGTTTTTCTGCACTATTATAAAGTGTACCTTTCTAATCTCAAGTCACTTTACTTTCTATACTTGTAAGTAGCGACACACACAATATATTTAAAACAGTTGACTAACCTTGATTATTAGTTCAGAAAAAGAGCACTGTCAAATTCAGTTGTGCTGATTATGAATATGTTAGTTATAAAACTTTCAAAGAGTTCTGCAGCTGAAATTAAAAAGCATGCTTGCCAAATCCAGCTTCTTCTTCAATTTGGTTATTTCAAGATTCTCAGCAACATTTTTTCATGAATATTTTCCTTGTTAGTAAAGTTGTGCACTGCATTTTGTTTTGTGTAATTTCATATTTTAAGTTGATAAGTTTTGGGAAAGTCCAAAACCATTTACAGGTAGTCCTTGGATCCAGTGACCATTCAAAGTTATGGAGGTGCTGAAAAAATGGACGTACTGCAAGTTCTTCCAGTTTCAGCCTTTGTAGTATCCCCATGGTCATGTGATTGTGAATCACAATTACAATGTCAGGGGAACTGCAGGCATGTGATTGCCATTTGTGCCCTGCCGGCTTCCCAGAAGCAAAGTCAATGGCAAACCTGGCAGGGAAGTTCACAAATTTGCTCTAGTAAGTTGCTGCCGCTTTTTCTCCCACCCATAGTATTCTCTCCACTCTCATGCAGCCTCTGCTAGCACTCTCAGGCCCTTACTGGCCTCTTGAAAACTCACATGTGGATTGCAGTAGCCCTCCCAGAGCCTCTGCACAGCACCCCTTTACTTCTTATTTGGGATTCCCATCTCTTCCAACTTAATGACCTGTACATCTTGGCAACTAGAATGGCCCAGTATTGCTATTACTACGCATTGCAGTCATGTGACATTGCATTTTACAACTACAGGTAGTCCTCGACTTACAACAGTTCATTTAGTGACCATTCAAAGTTACAATGGCACTGAACATTTTCACATTTACAACTGTTGTGGCATTCCAATTAGAGGGATGGGGGAAAAAGAAAACAAAACTGGGGGTACAGTCAACAAAAGAAAGAACTACAGCAGAAAATAATTACCAACTTTGGTATAAAACAAAAAAATATAATATTTTGAACTGAATTAGATGATAATGTACAGTTTTTTTGAAATCAAACAAATCTACCGGTTAAATTTTCTTTTTTTCCCAAAGAACTATAAGGATGTGCCAAATGTATGTTGGAAATGTAAACAATCAGAAGGTGGTTTTTAGGAACGTCTGATGTTTTCATTCCAATTGAAAAACTAAATAGATTATTACTGTTACATTAGCTCATCCAAAGAAGCTTACTTGGTAATTTTGACCCAGTCACTCTTTCTTAGCTTAACCTATGTCACAAGGTTTTTAGACAAAAAGAGAAAATAAAGAACTAAATACACTGCCTTCAGCTCTTGAAGAAAACATGAGATAGAAGTCAAATAAATGATTCTCAGGATGCGAAGATTTGCTTACCCTTCTACAGTATATCTGTTAAATAAACCAATATTGGTTATCAAATAATTTCTGAAGTAAGGTAACCATCCTAAATGTAGAATAAACCATATCGAGTGCTATTTCTGAGCAACTATTTCAGTTTAGATTCTGCTGTTTAGGTAGATTTTTTTTCAATTTATTTTTACTTTATTCAAAAAAGTTAAAATATAAAACACCAAAAAAATTTAAGAAACAAAGAAAATATTACTTATCAATATTATATATTGTTTAATTTTAATTTTAGTTTAATTTTCTACTTTGTTTCATTTAGTCCTTGCAAAATGCTTTGAACACTACTGAAGATGAAGTGGAAAAATGTGTTGCGTGCATAATAGAAGAAAAGAAGATTAAAGTACAGAAAGATGTAGGGTATGTCTGTTACAGCCTCTGCTACAATCTCAAGAAAAATCTTAATCTAGATTAATCTTAATCTTAATCTTAGATTAAATGTGAAAGAAGTAAGTTCACATTTAAATTTACTATATGATGTGATTAAGCTGGTAAATTTATTAATATTGGCATAAATAGAGAATTAACTGAAATTTCACTGAAATTCATAAATTAATTATTTTACTCAGTGGAAGATAATATCTTGTTAAATTAATGGTAATTATTATGAAACATTGCAGTATAATTGAAGAAGTGAGTATGTAGTCTTACATTACACTACGCACAATTATTAGGCAAGTTATATTTTGAAGGATTAATTTTCTTATTCAACAACTACAGTGCTCTTGGTCAATCCAAAATGTTAATAAACCTCAAATCTGAATATTTAAGAAAGTAAAAGTGAGGTTTTGGCTTTTTATGAGAATATGTGTGCACAATTATTGGGCAACTATTAGTGTACAGAATTATTATGCAACTAAATGAAAAAAAAACTGCCCATCTCAGTCATTTATTTGCATTTGTTAAAGTGAGAATAATAAACAAACAACTCAAAATGTACAAATAAACATTTCTAACATTTCAAAAAATATATATATCAGTGACCAATATAGCCAGTTTCTTGATCTGTTGACGATCAACATTTTGTGCAGCAGCAACCATAACCTCCCAGACACTGTTCAGAAAGGTGTACTGTTTTCCTTCGCCATAAATTTCCCATTTAAGAAAGGTCCACATGTTCTCAATAGGGTATGGGTCAGGTGAGGAAGGGGGTCATGTCATTGGAATTCAATGCATGAGATAGAGCATTGGCCTGCATAAAAATCATGGTCTTCTTGAAAGATGCAGACTTTTTCCTGTACCACTGCTTGAAGAAAATTTCTTCTAAAAACTGGCATAGGTTTGGGAGTTGATTTTGAGTCCATCTTCTACCCGAAAAAGACCAACTAGCTCATTTTTAATAATACCAGCCCTTACCAGTACCCCACCTCTACCTTGCTGGCGTCTGAGTCGAAGTGGAGCTCTATGCCAGGGGTGTCAAACTGCCGACCCGTGGGCGGATGCGTCACCAGGAAACCGCGCCCACCCCATTGCCGGCAATGGGAAAAAAGCTCCTATACGTCGCACAACATCACGTGACGTCGCAAGTTTGACATGTCTGCTCTATGCCCATTACTGATCCAGCCATGAGCCCATCCATGTGGTCCATCAAGAGTCACTCTCATCTCATCAGTCCATAAAACCTTTGACAAATCTGTCTTCAGATGTTTGTTGGCCCAATCTTGCCGTTTCAACTTATATGTCTTGTTCAGTGGTGGTCAGGTTTCAGTCTTCCTTTTCTTGCCCATGTCTCTGAGCATTGAATACCTTGTACTTCTGGGCACTCCAGGTAAGTTGCAGTTCTGAAATATGACGACACTGGAGGATAATGGGTTCCTGGTAGCTTCATGCTGGATTCTTCTCAAATCTTTGGCAGTTAATGTGCATCTTTTTTTCTCAACACATTTCTTGCGACCCTGTTGACTATTTGCAACAAAACGTTTAATGGTTCTGTGATCATGTCCCAATATCTTAGTAATTTCAAGAGCACTGCATCCCTCTGAAAGACTTTTTAAATGTTTGACTTTTCAGAGTCAATTAAATCTCTTTTTTGGCCCATTTTGCCTGAGGAAAAGAAGCTGCCTAATAATTATGCACACCTTGGTATAGGGTGTTGATGATATGGTCAAAATTCTCACTTGACTAATAATTGTGCACACTGTATTTAGTATTATAATTTGTCAAAACTAGATAGGATATCTTGACATATCATGGTTTCTGAACAGCCACTTGTTTGTGACTGTTAAATATGACTTCAAATTATTCCAAATTTTGATCATCCAAGGTATTTGAAAGCAGAGAATACAAGATTAGGTAATGGAAGTGGTATAATTTCAGTGGTATAATATATTTTTCTATCCAGTGATTGCCTGATGACTGCTGCTACTTTTTACAAAAATTGCAAGTGTAGATTGAAACTATAGTAGAGATATAACATGCTTGTTGGTGTTGTGTTGTTAGTGTGTTGTTATTTTCCCCGTCACTGCCCCCCTCCAGTGGATAGGTGCACCACATGTAGGAGCTGTGACCCAAATCAAACTAGACATATGTGCATAAAGAGGGAACAGAAAAATTATGGGGAAGTCTTAACATTTTTTAATACCACACTGTAATTATGTGGAACTTTGACTCAATAATATGGTAGGTCAGAACTGGAATACTCTAATGCCTGGCATAGATCTTAGATTGACAAAACAGGTATTTATAAAATCAAAGTTACATATTTCACTTCTGTCATAGAATATTTGGTTTTGTTAGTGCTATTTGTTTTGCAGTTGAATATTGTGTCACATTGCATCACATGTTACTTAGAATTCTCTGAATTTTCAATTTATGGTAGATTTGCTTCAAAGCTACAATCATCTTTACTCCAAATATCAGGCTACAAGAAACTCTGTTTGGCAGTGGAAGATCTCAAAA